TGAGGTTGAATGGGCTCAGAGAGACTTCCTTTTCAACTCTTCTTATGAGAATACAAGTCCTGTTAGATTAGGGCCCTACCCCTTACAACCTCATTTAAGCTTAAATGCCTTTGTAAAGATCCTGTCTCCAAACACAGTCACATTGGGAATTAGGGATTCAGCGTATGAATCTGGGGGATGGGGGAAACAATGTAGCCTATAACGAATGCATTCAATATTTTAGCCTCAAGGCCATAAAGCATTTTCTAGAAATACTTGCAGAAACATAACCGACAAGCACGATCATAAATCATGTCTAAGCCCCCAGAATTATAGAATGTGAGAGCCAGAGGAGACCCTGGAAGTCTAGTTCAGTGCCATTACTTTCAGTTACTGAAACTTGGGCCCAAGATGCGGAAAGAGCTTGTGTGAGGCGCACCTCACATCCGTCCGTATTGGAACCCAGAACTTTTCATGTGGTGCACGAGTTATTCAACTGCAGTGCTGCTGCTATTTCAAATCTGATTTTATATATAATATCATCCTTGGTTTTCCCCATCTTAAACTTCACCAATGCATTCATTCACACCTGGGAAGATTAGATTCAGCTCACGCCAAGCACCTCACTTGGAAATGCATGGCTCCATTTATTCCTCATTGTAGCCCTGTGTGGAAGACCATGTCGTTTTATAGATAAGGACATCTGAGAGTTTAAGTGACTTGCTCAAGTTTCTTCAACTAGTGAGACACAAAGCCTGATGTGGACACGGATTTGAAGGCTCATGTGTGATTAATTGAAGGCTCATGTGTTTGTTCACTTTGGAGGCTGATTCATTAGCTTCTTTCCCTATCCCCATTGTGACTTACAACTGCAAGTTCAACAACAGGTAGTGAAAGAGGACAACTACAGACCTTCTCAGGGCCTTGGAAAAGGGTTCCTTTGTTGTTCTGCAAAAGGGATCACTGGGGAAAGCCAAGAGTTCCTACTTAGCAGGACTAGGGGCACTTTAGGCAGATGGGCTAGAGAATATTTTATAACAAAAACACTTTACAGTGACTGTAAAAAAACAAACCTGTTCATGATTTTAAAAAACATAAACAGTATAGAAAAGTATAAAGAAAGAGTAAATTATCTCATCTTCCTGGCTCATCCCCAGTTGCATTCTCCAGAGATAACTGTTGTTCTGTGTCTATTCAGACATATTTTTAAAAATACATGTAAGCACTTGCATAATGTATGTAAATTATACTTTAGGGTAATACTATAACTATTGCTCTGAAACGTACTTTAAAAAAATCTCTTAACAGTATGTCTTTGACATGTTTTCATGTAAATATATGTCCTTCCATTTCATCCTCCTTTTTTTGTTCTTTTTTTTTTTTTTTTTTTGCAGTCAGGATCTCACTCTGTCTTCCAGACTGGAGTGCGGTGGAGTGTAGCACAATCTTGGCTCACTGCAGCCTTGACCGCCTGGGCTCAGGTGATCCTCCCACCTCAGCCTCCCCAGTAGCTAGAACTACAGGCATGCAATACCACTCTGCTAGTTTTTGTGGGTTTTTTTTTTTTTTTTTGGTAGAAACGGGGTTTGACCATGTTGCCTAGGCTGGTCTTGAACTCCTGGATTCAAGTAATCTGCCCATCTTGGCCTCTCAAAGTTCATTCTTTTTAATGATGGAAAAATATTTCAGGCCGGACATGGTGGCTCACACCTGTAATCCCAGCACTGTGGGAAGTCGAGGTGGGCGCATCACTTGAGGTCAGGAGTTTGAGACCAGCCTGGCCAACATGGTGAAACCCTGTCTCTACTAAAAATACAAAAATTAGCCTAGCATTGTGGCGGGCACCTGTAATCCCAGATACTAAGGAGGCTGAAGCAGGAGAATTGCTTGAACCTGGGAGGTGGAGGTTGCAGTGAGCCGAGATCGCACCACTGCACTCTAGCCTGGGCAACAGAGCAAGACTCGTCTCAAAAAAAGAAAAAAAAAAAGATAAAACAAAAATATTTCATTGTAGGGATATACAATAAATTTAAATTTACTCATTCCCGTAACAGGCTGAGTAATGGCCCCCGAAATATCTACGTTGTCTACATCATAATCCCTGGAACCTGTACATGTTACCCTATTTAAAGAAATGATCTTTTCGGATGTGATTAAGAATTTTGAGGCCGGATATGGTAGCTCACGCCTGTAATCCCAGCACTTTGGAAGGCCAAGGCGGGCGGATCACCTGAGGTCAGGAGTTTGAGATCAGCCAAGCCAACATGGATAAACCCTGTCTCCACTAAAAACACAAGATTAGCCAGGCGTGGTGGCACATGCTTGTAATGCCAGCTACTCGGGAGGCTGAGGCAGGAGAATCGCTTGAACCTGGGAGGTGGAGGTTGCAGTGAGCTGAGATTGTGCCATTGCACTCTAGTCTGGGCAACAAGAGTGAAACTCTGTCTCAAAAAAAGGGATTTTGAGATAGGGAGATCATCCTGTATGATTGAGCGGGGGGGTGTGGGGAGGTGCTAAATGCAATCATTAGTGTCCTTATAAGAGAGAGGTGGAGGGAACTTTGACATACACAGAGAAGGCGATGAAGACAGAGGTAGAGATTGGACTGTGGAGGTTACAAGAAATGTGGGCAGTCACCAGGAGCTGGAAGACATAAGAGATGGAGTCTCTTTTTGAGCCTCCAGAGGAAGTGTGACCTCGCTGGCACCTTGATTTTGGACCAGTGATATTGATTTCAGACTTCTGGCTTCCAAAATGGTGAAAGAATACATTTATTATGTTTTAAGCAACATAAGTTTGCTTAAAACAAGTTTGGGGTAATCTGTTATAGCAGCCACAGGAAACTTACATAATTCGTTTACTGATGAACATTTAGGATGTTTATAATAAAAGCCTATAATATAACTTTACCCACTTGGACAATTATATTTGTAGGACAAATTCCAAGAACTAGAATATCTGAGGCAAAGCATATGGACGTGAAAACAAAAATTTCATCAGGCCTAAAGAGAATATTTTATATATTCCAAATGGATTCCAGGTACTGTATGTCAAAATGTATACCTTTGAATTTACAACTTTAAATATGTTTGTTGGCTGGGCTCAGTGGCTCACATCTGTAATCCCAGCACTTCAGGAGGATGAGGTGGGAGGATTACTTGAAGCCAGGAGTTTGAGATCTGCCTGGGCCACATAGCGAGACCCTATCTCTACAAAAATAGAAATGAGAAAATGAAAAAAAATGTCTATAGAAGAGGGAATACCCATGAATAGTTAGGTTCATTTTCATAAAGGAAAGACAAGAAGAACGACGAGACTCCCAGATATCAACAAATACTGCAAAGCCACAGCAACAAAAGCATTATCGTACATGATTTTGGGTAAATAGCTTAATGGGGCAGAACAGAGCGCTCAGAAGCAAAGCTGCGTACGTGAGAACTTGATATATGAGGCTGACACCACAAGTCAGTGAAGAAAGGCAACAGTGCCTCACTATTGGAGAAAAGTAAAATTAGGTCCTTACCTCATTCTGTGTGAAGGTGAATTTCAGATCAACCAAGATCCCATGGAAAGATAAAACTATAAAGTTAAAAAAAGAAAATGTAGGAAGAGTATCTTTTGGAGGGTAGAAGAGAGGTGGGGTTGAAGGATTTCTACAAGACTCAGAAACCACGAACAATTGGGTAAAAAAGTTTAATGGATTATATTACACCACAATTAAGAATTCATTTTTAATATGATATAATAGACAAAGATGACAATTGGCTTACAGAAAGGGAGATTTTTATATCACCAAAAAGTAACAGAAATAATATCTAAAGTAAATCCAATGGAAAAATACACAAAGTATATTCAAAGGGAAATTGAAATGGCTAACATTGCTCAACTTCACTGGATACCAAAATAAAACAAGACGGAGGGGTGCGGTGGCTCATGCTTGTAATCCCAACACTTTGAGAGGCTGAGGCGGAGGGATCACCCGAGGTCAGGAGTTCGAGACCAGCCTGGCCAACACAGTGAAATGCCATCTCTATTAAAAATACAAAACTTAGCCGGATGTAGTGCTGCTTGTCTGTAATTGCAGCTACTAGGGAGACTGAGGCAGGAGAATTGCTAGAACCCGGGAGGTGGAGGCTGCAGTGAGCCAAGATGGCACCACTGCACTCCAGCCTGGGTGACAAAGTGAGATTCTGTCTCAAAAAAATAAAATAAAATAAAAAATAATAAAGTAAAACAAGACACAACTTAAAAGCCAAGAACATTGGGCGGGGTGCCTGTAATCCCAACACTTTGGGAGGCTGAGGCGGTGGATCACAAGATCAGGAGATTGAGACCATGCTGGCTAACATAGTGAAACCCCATCTTTACTAAAAATACAAAAAATGAGCTGCACGTGGCGGCACGTGCCTATAGTCCCAGCTACTCAGGAGGCTGAAGCAGGAGAATTGCTTGAACCCGGGAGGCAGAGGTTGCAGTGAGCCAAGATAATGCTACTGCACTCCAGCCTGGCAACAGAGTGAGACTCTGTCTTAGGAAAAAAAAAAAAAAAGGCCCAAAACATTAAAGAGGCAGACAATATCAAGTTTGAGTGTCTAGAGAGCAGTATGCCAATACTTCTGGACGTCACATATACCCCATGACTTATTTAGCCCGCTCCTGGGTAAATGCTCCAGAGAAATTTGCTCACAGTCACTAAAGGGACAAGTCTACAGATGCTACATTCATTTCAGATTAATGTGGTAGTAGGACAATTGGAGGCATCTGAGCATTTACTGCTCAGGGAATGGATAATACTATGGAATAGATACAACCTGTGGAATACTTTCCAGCAGTTAGGCCCCTATGAACTAGATGTGCATGTGCATCATGGGCAGATCTTAAAAATTAGTGTTGGGGGTTGGGGGCAAGGGGAGGGAGAGCATTAGGACAAATACCTAATGCATGCAGGACTTAAAACCTAGATGACAGGTTGATAGGGTACTGCAAACTACCATGGCACACGTGTACCTATGTAACAAACCTGCACGTTCTGCACATGTACCCCATAACTTAAAATAATAAAAAAATTAGTGTTGAGTGAAAGAAGCGGCAGATTAAGATCTATGGCGTGACATCATGTCTGTATGATTTTATAAAGATCCTATAAAATACCAACCTATCCAAGGATACTTATTAAGTCCATCAAAGTGGATGTCTATGGGGAGAAACATAAGTGGGAATTGAATTGTAAAAAATAAAACAGGCTAATGATGATAAGCACCATGAAACATGGTCTATAATTTACTCAATTTTATGCACCTATAATAATGCTAGCTATCCTTTTCTTTGGTCTAAAACATGGCCTGCATTGTTTTAGAGGCTCAGCCATACACTTGCAAATAACTGCGCATGTATCTGTGGCTCTGCAAGGCTGTCAGGGGCTCTCGGGCAGCCCACGTTTTCTTCTCTGTTGTTCTCTTGAGACCTGACACATAGCAGGTGTTCAATAGTTTTGTTGAAAGAAAACACAGGACATTTTTGGAAACCAGTTTATACATTCCTCCAAAGCTTAGAAAAATGCAGAGGAACTGAAGAATGTGATGCCTGGAAACAAGATTTTCTAGTTCTCCAACCGGTATCTTGAAGGCTCAAACTTGAAAAGCAAGTACTGTTTTTTGTCCCTGTTTTCTGACTCCCCTTTCTTTTCTTCTCCTTTTCATCCCTAGTGCTTAACAGTTGTCTTCCCCATCTGGGCAAGGGAGTCAGGTGACAGCAGAATTAATATGCAATTCTTCCTGGTAATGTAAGGGAAGGGGCAGGGGTTTGCCTATCACAGCAATAATCTAGCAAAAGCAGCCAGTACCACATGCTACTCCCTGCTGGAGGCCCTCCAGGTCCACACTGCCCTCAGGATCAAGTCTCCACCTGACACTCGTGTCCTTCCAGACTTGCTTCGGGTTCCAGACTTGGCTGTCACCCCTCTAACATGATCTGCTTCTCTAACAAAGGGTGCCGACGTGGACACTCATTAATTTTTTAAATTCAATAAGAAATCATTTTAAATAATATAAGTTAAAACTAGTAAGTAATTTTAAATGCTTTCTAGCACCTGTCTCCAAAGGTGGCAGTTTGTTGAGGACATCAGGTCCACAGTGCTAGGGTCTGCTGTTCCCCTGCTGTGCTGTAAATGACAACCCCTTTTATCTCACTTTCCCAAATCCAGCTGTTGTTTTGCAGAGAAAAACCTCTGTGCCAAGGTGAACAAGTCAGAAAGAGGCCTTAGCATGAGCCCCTGTTCTAGAACTTCCTACTTTGTCCCTCCAAATCCACCGTTCTCCCTTTTCCACCTTGCTCCCTGTCCTGGAGGCTGACCTCCAGGGACAGCCTTGGCAGCCCTCCTTGCCCTCTGTTCTTGACTGGGTTTGGCCAGGGAAGAGAGGCCCCCTCAGTGCTGACCACACACCGCAGTGCTCTGCAGAGCTACATGACCACCGATGCCCAGGTCCACCTGAACCAATTAAATCCTTGCCCTACTTGCCCTCTGTTCCTGATCGGTTTTGGCCAGTGAAGAGACAAGAAAGAGGACTATCCGGTTTCACTGTGCAGTCTGTTCCCTCCCAGGACCTTGAATGATACCACCCACTGGTATATCCAGTTCTCAGGAACACCCTGTGTCTTCATGGCAGTTTTATTTCTTGGTTGTTCTCGCCCTTTCCTGAAACTCAGCATTGGTCAAAGGCCAGCCTGATTCCCTAAATGTTCTCAGGAAACAGGATGGGATGGTTCAGGGCAAGTCTACAAATGGCTCCACTTTCCATACAGGGATCAGTTTTGCAAACCAGGTGCCTTAGGAAACCTCAGGGGAACTCCCCCTTAGCACTTCCCCTCTGGGGGCTACTTGCCTTTCACATGTATGTGCATAGGAAGACCATGCTAACGACTCTCCCCTGAACAGAGAACACACACTCCCGGTGACCAGTGCTTTCTAACCTTAGCCAGAGAAGAGTTTGGTGTCAGTTTTGATTAACTGTGTTATGCAGTCCTCCCCAGCATTCTAGACATTCTGTTGATTCGTCTTCAATGACACTTGTGATTCCTCCAATTTACCACCCTGTGCCCCACTCTTGTGCCTCTGCCCAAGTCCTGACTGTGCTGTAACACCCCTTCCCACTTTCGTTGGGGCAGCTTCTGCTTTTCCCAGCTGGGAGTTCTGCCTCCTGCAGACAGTCTTCCCTGACCTAAATGAAGTCTAAATTAAACCCTCATCATAGCTGCTTCTCCCACTGTGTTGTAATGACCTGATTGTCTGTCACCCCCATTGAGACGAAAGAAAGTAAAAATTAGCCTGGACTATTAAAATCTTCCTTGGGCATTCATCAGGCTGGAATAAAAGAGAAAACCAGATTCAAAGTTAACAATAAATAATATTTCTCGCAAGGGGCATGCTGTAGTGGTAAAGGGTCACAAAAACCCCCTTCTTGGAGTGAGTAGTGTCTTCTGACTCACTGAGAAACCTTTTTTCTCTAAAATCCTAGACTATCAGAAACACTGCTGTTTGAAATGATGTTAGAGTGAAATATCTCACCCTTGCCTGGAGGATCTAAGTCACTGAGAGAGAAGTAGCCTTGATTTAAACCCTAGGGAGAGAGCTTTGGAGGAGGGGTTTCTGGACACAGTAGCCCACGGCTATGGATAATAGTCTTATTGCTTCCCAGCAAACACTTCATAGTGTTCCATTTGTTCCATTTGTTCCCAGCAAACTGCTTCATAGTCCAGAACTTAGGATGATACCTTTACATTTAGACCTACCTTGCTTTGAGTCTGTCAAAATACATTTCGCTTAAATTCCACTCTTCCCCATGCCCCGTACTGTAATTCTTTTCTTTTCCTTTGTTTGGGGAGATACCCTATGGTTCTGCTGGTGTGTGGTCTCTGCAATGTGTCAATGAACATCACTTTGTAGGCTTTGTAAGAGTAGGCTTTGTTCCCGGTGGTCCTGGGTTGGTTGAGTGAGGACAGCAATTCATCATAGCACCTAAAACGCAGGATAAAAGAGAAGCAATTTCTGTTAAATGGGTGAGTAAATGAATGAGTGAGTAATGTTTCCCCCTAGATGGACTTGAATGAGCCAGGAAGTGCACCTAGGACCTAGGCAACTTGAGCAGTTTAAACTGGGAATCTGGAGTCAGCTGGGTTTGAACCCTAACCTGCCATTTATTAATCATGTGAGCAAAGTGAATGTCTTACTTCTGTGCGCCTCAGTGTCCTCATCTCAAAATGAAGATGATATTTTATTGAGCATAATAATCTCTCTTCTGCAAGGTTGCTATAATTGTCAGAAAAAAATTGTCCAAAAGTTGGGATTGGATAAAAGAGATTACTGGGTGTTATTTCAATTGAGTGGGGCCATTGTCCTGGGGACCCTCTGGGGATATCTGATTCCACAGAGGTGCGCACATTTCACTGACTTGCCATTGGCTAGGCTTTTTTTTTTTTTTTTTTACACTTGATATCAGCCAAAAGGCTGAGAAGCAGTGACTAGCCTTTTAAAAAATACAACTAACAGTAGAAATTAAGTTATAGAAAATTGATGGTAACAATTCCTGCTCATAGCAATGCCAATTAATTTTCTCTGGTCAAGAATATAAATCTCTGTAATTTAAATTCTTATGTGCACCAGTTTTTACATCTTACTGGATTCCCTATTAATTAATGAGTTGAATAAAACCCTTAGCATGGGTTCATTTCACATTTGCACGAGAGTCAGGATTTTACCTTTTGAAATTTTAACTTAGCACAATGAAGATTAATAATAGATGTAAAACGCTTATTGTACTAGAGACCCTCAAGTCATACCTATGATTATTATTTTATTGATAGACTGAGATGCCAGACAGAATACACCAACAGATCAGCAAGAGTGTAGGCGTTACTATAGAGCCCAGCCTTATAGAGTAGGCCAGGGAAGGGTTGGAGAGCGGGAAGTTCTCTTGGGACACATCCAGGTTGAATGAATGTTTGCCCCTCATCTTAGGCATCGCTGCTTGGTTGCAAGCACAGAACCCCACCTGAAACAATGAGGGACCTTATGCCATAAAGCACAGGTTGATCAGCCAGGCTTCAGGAAGAGTGGACAGACAAGAGCGCCCCCAGATGCCTTCACTCATCTCTCAACTCTGCCTGTTTATTAGTTTGATTCTCTGTCCTAGCACATTGACCTTGTCCACACAGCCAGGAACATGGCTGCTGACGGCTCCAAGTCCCCTTCCCCAGGGCTGTTACCACAGGTTAAGAACAGTCTTCTCTTCATTCCATTTCCAAAGATTTCCAGGAATGTCTCTAAGGGTTCTGGTTTGGAAAGCTGCACGTCTTAGAGTATTCAGCTGTGGCCATGGAAGAGAAAGGTATTTCCCATGTGAACCACAGTTTCAGGAAGAAGCGGGAGAGTGCTGAGCAGAGAAGACAGAGTATTTTTTCGATTCCCTCTCAAAATTGGCTTGGAAATTGAAGTGTAACTACCTAGAGCTGGCCAGATCCCATTGCAGTGCAGGAGTCAACGATGGTAAAGGGAGGAACAACCGTCCAGAGGAGGGGTTGACAAACCGTGCCGAGGACAGCCCCGCGAGTTTGCACAGATGTTACAGAAATGCTTTTAGAGTGTGTTAGATAAATGATGGGTTCAAACAGATGCATTGATTATATGGGAGTCAGCGTGCTGGCCTCCTTACGATCTCATTTCGCCCTCATAGAAGCCCACTGGTGTGGTGAGGTGATCGTCATGTGACAGTGAAGGAGACTGAGGCCCAGAGAAGTCATATAGCTATGAAGTAGCAGAACCAATTGGAGGCAGTCTGATCCTAAACACTAACTGGAATGGACCTTTGGTCTTTAGCCCATATTATGAGCCGAACATGACTCTGATCTTAGTTTTCTCTTTTATCTAGAGTGCTAACTCTGTCATGTCATTCTGTCATGTCAGCATGACCATGCCACAGTGAAATTACGTGGAGAGAGCAGGGCTTTATACTTGTATAAAACCCAGGAAAATGAACGTTCATTTACCACGTAGAGGAAGACAGCCTCAAATAGAATAAGCTGGTATGACTAAGAAAGAGGAAATGAAGGCTGACTTAGAAACATACAAAGATAACCACTGGACCGTGAGACTCAGACTGTTTGGTTATCTTTGTGGCAAAGATCATCTCCCTGTTATAGCTGAGGCCGCACCACTAGATAAAGTGAAAGGGGATTCGTTTTAGAAGAGGCTCTTATGAACATTTTGGCCCTGACCTAAGGCGAGGGAATCAAATGACCTTTGTAAGTTTTGTTTTTCAGGCCCGGTTTTGTGACAGCAGTAAAATGACTCTCACTGAGAGTTTAGAGAGTTTCAGCACAAAGCAGGATGCTCCCTAGGTCTCACTTCCCCAGGCTGTGGGCATGCCTTGAAAAAGGTGATTCCTGACATCTGGGCATAGCAGAGGCAGCCATATTTTCTGAACCCCAAAGCAAAACTTATGAATGGCAAAGAATTTTTAAAAATGATTTTGAGGCCGGGCGTGGTGGCTCATGCCTGTAATCCCAGCACTCTGGGAGGCCAAGGCAGGCAGATCACCTGAGGTAGGGAGTTTGAGACTAGCCTAAAAAAACATGGAGAAACCCTGTCCCTACTAAAAATAGAAAATTAGCTGGGCGTGGTGACACATGCCTGTAATTCCAACTGCTCACGAGGCTGAGGCAGGAGAATCGCTTGAACCCAGGAGTCAGAGGTTGTGGTGAGCTGAGATTGTGCCATTGTACTCAAGCCTGGGCAACAGAGTGAGACCTTGTCTCAAAAAAAAAAAAAAAAAAAAAAAAGGATTTTGATATTTGTATCTGAAAAGTCTCCCAAAACATAAATAATCACATTTATTGAAAAGAAAGAAAACAATCTGGGCCTTGTTATCATCACTGACATAGGGGAATCAGGCTGGGGGAGTGACTGGCAAGACAGGAAAGACTGATACCTTTGCCACATGCCACACCTGAGATTGCCACTGCAGCCCTTGTGCAAACTGTCCCTGGAGTTACAGTGATGCCCTCCAAAGAGCAGAGGGGAGATAGCTGATCAAGCTAACAGCAGAGAGGGACCAAGTGAAAACTAAAAGTTAGGCTCTCTTCAGGGGATTATTACTGTCTGGCTGATATAAACTTGTAAATTATGTCCGTCCTTTTTTCTCTTTTACACATCTTCAATCTTGTGTGTTCTTATGAATGCAAAATAGCTAAATAGATTTTAAATATCCATTTATACTAAAGTGTGAATGATTGCTCTAAGCCCACGAGTGAATAAATTATATTTATCCAAGATATCTGAAAAAGAACTGTCTTAGTTGGATACTCTCCATTAATGGTGCAGATCTACCATAGCCAAAGGGGGAAAAACTCAGTAGGGACAGAAAAATCAATAGACGTGGGTCTACAAGGAAAATGCAGAAATAGGAGATTACAGCTAGATAGGGAAAGGGCAGAGTTCTCAGTATGAGCAGAATTGATGGGTAGCCAATTGGCAACAACAGCTATAAAGTGGGGAATTAAAATGACTAGAGGACCATATTTGGTATGTGACCATCAAATTGCTTGAAAAAGATCCAATGAAAGGGACAGATAAGGATACTGGAATTTCATTATGGGGTTTGCTAGTGACAGAATGAAGTATCTCCATCACTGCAATCCCAAGTTAATATAGAATAGTTGTGAAGTTCCCTTTCTAAATTGTAAATAAGCCTGATGCTGGGGGACAACCATCTGCTCAAATTCTGACTAACAATTCTCCCTTACTAGCAAGAAATCAACAGACTCAGCACTCACGTGGAATATTTTGTGAGTGGTTTTCATTCAAAGGGTGAGTCGCCAGTGGTGAGATACGCTGACGGGGAGTATACTTTGATGCTGAAGCCATTCCTCATTTCTTCCCTTTCATCGGGGGCAAAAAAAAATGCTACAAGGAAAAAAAAACCCCAAACACTCCCTCACACTTCCTAGTACTTTACCATTTACTAAGTAATACAACTCAAGATACCTTATTAGAGCCTGACAACAGCACCACAAAGTGGGTGTTGTCATCTTCTTTTTCAGATGAAGACACCGAGGCTATAGCTGGGCATGGCTGCTCACACCTGTGGCACTTCAGGAGGCCGAAGTGAGAGGAATGCTTGAGCTCAGGAGTCCGAGACCAGCCTGGGCAACAGAGTGGGACCCAGTGTCTACAAAAAAATAAAACAAAATTAGCTGGGCATGGTGGTGCATACCTGTATAGTCCCAGCTACTCGGGAGGCTAAGGTGGGAGGACTGCTTGAGCCCAGGATGTTGAGACTGCCGTGAGTTGGGATTGTGCCAATGCACTCCCACTCCTGCCTGGGCAACAGAGTGAGACCCTGTCTCAAAAACAAAACAAAACAAAACAAAAACACTGAGGCTCAGAGAGGCAAGTTGTCCCATGACAAGGAAGAGGCACTAACTTACAGCTGTTCCATCTTCCATCTCCAGATGTTTGCTTGATGAAATTTGTGGTAAGCAGACTATTTGATATGGAAAGTAAAAACACAACAAAACAAAAATCCTTCTTCTGCCTGTCATTTGCTAATTCACTAACTCTCTTTATCTCTTTAACAATGAATGATGTTTGGCCTGGAGCGGTGGCTCACGCCTGTAATCCCAGCACTTTGGGAGACCAAAGCGGGCGGATCACGAGGTCAGGAGACAGAGACTATCCTGGCCAACATGGTGAAACCCTGTCTCTACTAAAAATACAAAAATTAGCTGGGTGTCGTGACTTGTGCTTGTAATCCCAGTTACTCGGGAGGCTAAGGCACAAGAATCCCCTGAACCCAGAAAGCGGAGGTTGCAGTGAGCCAAGATTTCGCACCACTGCACTCCAGTCTGGCGACAGAGCGATACTCCATCTTGAAAAAAAAAAAATGATGTTCGTAAATGCTCATAGGGAGACTATTAGGACTTAAACACTGCCTATTGACATTGTAATAGTCATACTTACAGGGCTCTGCTGTGCACATAAATCGGGCATGATTTTAAAGTCAGACATAATTTACTGTATAATGTCTGCTAGTAAATTTGAGCATATGATGATCTCAAATGTGTCTTGTCAGAAAGCAAGCCATTCAGCTGCAAGAAACATGCGGTATCTATAAATAAAGGCTCCCACCTTTGCATCAAGATGAATCTCCATGATAATTTCCTTTCCTCTGGCTTCTCTCCTATTGTGAGTAGGGAGCCTTCTGGGAAGAAGGGTAGAAGCTTGGCTTTAGTTCTCCAAGATTCACAACCACATACCATATTGAATGGAGTGCTCACAAAACTGAACTTTCTACCTGTCCAAAGATACCTGTCAAGTTTTTTTTTTTTTTTTTTAAATTTCATTTTTTTAAGTTCTGCATTCTCTGGAGTTGAAAGGGGGATCTTTTTGCTGCTTTTTGGTCTTTTGCTTTCTTTCTTCAATAATTTCAACCTATAAAAATTGACTTGAATATTAGGTTTGATCCAAAAAGAAATATCAACACCTGGCAACAGCTTCTTTCTGAAATTCTCTTTTCCAGGACTGGGAGTACAGAGATGTATTAGAGATTTTCTATAAGTGGTCTTTTCTCTTTTTAAACTTGGGGAAAGTCAATTCTTAAATCTGCAGATAAAAGCCTTAAGGTCCACTTCTCCCCCTGGCAATTTATATTTAAAACAACTTCAGATCCCACATAGGTTGGCTCATATTTAGATGCAGAGAATGGCTCATATTTAGAGGTTGAGAAACACTAAAGTGAAACACCCTCAATCACATCATTGTTCCCTTGCATGGGAGAGTTCAGAGAAATCAAGTCCTCTGGCAGATTGTAACAAAAAGTATGTTACAATTCTCAAATTTAAAAGATTTCTTTGGACAGAAGTTTCTCTTTACAGGAACATTGAATTGTTTTTTTCCCCCTTTTATGTCTTTAGAATATTTTGTCCACTTTGGTAATCTTCCAATCTGGTTATTTGGGTTTACCTGCGGGGAAGTCAGAAGGACTAGTATTTTGCAAACCACTTAAAACCGCCATTGAAATGGCATCCAGTCAAGAACATTCTGCCTTGAAACTGGCAGCCCCAATTCTACCTCCAGCTCATAGTGTGACCTTGGGCGTCTCCTTTTTCTGAGTTTCATTTTCCTTCTCAGAAAAATGCTGAGATTAGATTAATCCTCCATTTCCAGCCCTCCACAGGGCATTTTGTCAGATGGCAAATCAGGAAGGGGAGATGTCATGGATGGTCATTAACGGTGGCTTTGCACTGCATTGATCACACTAACCACATGTCACTTCATCTCTGGACAGGGACTTCCTGCGGCTCTTTAAAAACCTGGGGTACTTGTTTTATGGCCTTTCAGGAGCCTCAATCTTAAAACACATGAATATCTAGATTGTTTCTTCCTTCAGCAGTAACATATCTGGTGTTTGTAGTACACTTTCAATTTATAAAGAATTTTCTGATTTGGTGTCTCGTTTAATCAAATGCTCATACTACTGTCACTTGAAGAAGGTGTATAGAAAAGACATCTGCACACCTACCCAAAAGCTCTTAGAACTATCACTGAAAATTCTCAGCAGGCATGCAGGTGGGCTGGCAGTCCCTCCCTCCCTCCCTCCCTCCCTCCCTCTTTCCCTCCTTCCCTCCTTCCCTCCTTCCTTCCTTCCTTCCTTCTTTCCTTCCTTCCTTCCTTCCTTCCTTCCGATCCCTGACATAGGGAACTCATTCTCTAACATGAAGGCATACAGGACATTTGACCTCATATACCTTTTTCTTCTTTTTTAAACATTTGTTTTAAAAGTTTACATTTAATAAATTTCACTATTTTTTGGTGGACAGTCTATGAGTTCCGATGAGTGCCTGGAGGTCTTGTAACCACTGCCATAAGTAAGTTATAGGATAGTTCCATCACTCCACCCACCTTCAAAAAAATTTCTGTCTAGCTACCTCTTTGTAGTCAAACACTTGCTCCACTCTTAACTCTTGGCAATTACTAATCTCGTTTCTGTTCCTATAGTTTTGCCTTTCCCAGAATGTCATTATCAAGGAAATCATATAATGTGTGGTTGAGTCTGGCTTCTTTCACTGAACATAATGCATGTGAGATTCACTTGCAATGTTTCATGTAACAATAGTTTACTCTCATTTATTGCTGAGTATTCATTTATTGTATAAATGTACCATAGTTTGTTTACATTTTTAATTCATTCCCCAGTTGAGGGATCTTTGGGTTGCTTCTAGGTTTTGATGATTATGAATAAGGCATCAATAAACATTCACATACAGGTTTTTTTTGTACAAACATATGTTTTCATTATATTTGTATAAATATCTAGAAGTGGGGTAACTAGATCATATTGTTAAGTGTATGTTTAACTTTAAAACAAACTGTCAAACTGCTTTCCAAAGTGACTGTATTATTTTGCACTCTCACCAGCAATGTGTAAGAGTTCCAGTTACTCCACATCCTCACCAGCACTTGGTATCCTCAGTTTTGGGGGGTGTGTGTGTGTGCGCGCGTAAGTAGTCTTGTTAATAGGTATGTAGTAGTATTTCATTGTAGTTTCACTTGTATTTCCCTAATGACTAGTAATGTTGAACATCTCTTGATGTGCTTTTTCGGACATCTGTGTATCTTATTTGATGAAGTGAATGCTCACATTTTTTGTGATTCAAAAACTAAGGTTTTCTTACTTCTGCATTTTGAGAGTTCTTTGAATATGCGGGAAACAAGTCCTTTGTCAAACATATGATTTGCAAATATTTTCCCCAGTCTTTGGTTCACCTTTCATTTCCTTACCCATATCTTTTAAAATATTTTCAATATTTGTTTATTTTTTAGAGACAGGGTCTTGCTCTATTGCCTGGGCTGGAGTGCAGTGGCATGGTCACAGCTCACTGCAGCCTTGAACTTCTGTGCTCAAGCAATACTCCTGCCTCAGCCTCTTGAGTAACTAGGACTACAGGCATGTGTCATCCACACCCAGCTAATTTTTTATTTAAAAAACTTTTTGGGGCAGATGTTATCTTGCCATGTAGCCCAAGCTGGTCTTGAAATCTCGGCCTCAAGTGATGTTCCTGTCTTGGCTTCCCAAAGTGCTGGGATTACAGGCATGAGTCACCATGCCTGGCCAAGGTCTGTTTTTTGCATATAGATGTTCAGTTCCATCACTGGTTGTAAAGATCATCCAGGTGTGCTCAATGTAATCACAAGGGTCCTTATGAAAAATACAGGAGGGTCAGAGTCAGAGAAGGAGAGGCGATGACAGAACCAGAGATTGGAGTGATGTCCTTGCTGAAAGGGGCCAAGAACCAGGAACCGAGGAATGTGGGCAGCCTCTAGATGCTGGAAAAGGCAAGGAACAGATTTTCCCCTAGAGCCTCCAGAAACAACATGTCTCTACTGATACCTTGATTTTACCATGTAAGACCCATTTTTGGGTTTCTAACTGCCAGAACTGTAAAATAATCAAGTTGCATTGTTTTATAATAACCACTATGTTTATGGTAATATTTTACAGTAGCAATAGGAAACCAATATAAAAAGCTGCATTGAATTGCCTTTACACTTCTGTCAAAATCAACTGACTATATTCACATGAAACTATTTCTAGATTCTTTATTCCGTTCCATATTTCTATGTTTCCATACTTTTTGCCTACACAACACTGATATATATATATATATTTTTTGAGATGGAGTCTCGCTCTATTGCCTGGGCTGGAGCGCAGTGGTGTGATCTTGGCTCACTGCAACCTCTGCCTCCCAGGTTCAAGGGATTTTCCTGCCTCAGCCTCCCCAGTAGCTGGGACTACAGGTGCATGCCACTATGCCTGGCTAATTTTTGTATTTTTTTGTAGAGGTGGGGTTTCGCCATGTTAAGCAGGCTGGTCTGGAACTCCTAACCTCAAGTGATCCACCCACCTCAGCCTCCCAAAGTGCCGGGATTACAGGCATGAGCCACTGCACCTGGCATATTTTTTGCTTTTTTTTTTTTTTTTCCCAAGACAGAGTCTCGCTGTCTCCCAGGCTGGAGTGCAGTGGCGTGATCTCAGCTCACTGCAAGCTCTGCCTCCCGATTTCACGCCATTCTCCTGCCTCAGCATCCCGAATAGCTGGGACTACAGGCACCTGCCACCACACCCGGCTAATTTTTTGTATTTTTAGTAGAGACAGGGTTTCACCATGTTAGCCAGGATGGTCTCGATCTCTTGACCTCATGATCCGCCCACCTCAGTCTCCCAAAGTGCTAGGATTATAGGCGTGAGCCACCGCGCCCGGCCTGGCATATTTTTTTTTTAACCTGTCTTGAATTCTCTTATTTTCATTGCTTCATATCTTCAGGATATGAAAAGTTGGTCAGTGGTAGTGAGAAGGATCCCAAAACATAAGGATCAAAAAATGGCAAGTTTTGGGATAGACATCTGTATTAGTTTTTTTTTTTCAGAAAGAAAGAACTAAAATTGTATTTGTTTGTAGATTGCATGTTCTGCTGTGTAGAAAATCACAAAAGTCAACCAAAATACTACTGGAACTAATAAACACATTCAGTGTATTTGCAGAATACAATATCAGCGCCAGAAATTAGTTAAATTTCCATACATTAAACAATTTTAAAAGAAAATTAAGAAAACACTTCCATTAGCTAGAGAACTTACAGTAAGAAATACTTAGGAATAAACGTAAAAAGGCGATAAGTTTGTACCTTAAAATCTACAAACATTGATCAAAATTATTAAAAACATATATAAAATAGAGATACAACCCCTATTGATGGATTGGAAAAATTAATATTGTAAAATGATTATATAACCCAATGGGATTTAGATTCAACACAATACCCATAAAAATCCCTATCCATTTTTGATAAAGAAACAAAAAACAGGCTGGGAAAAGTGGCTCACGTCTGTTGGCCAGGCTGGTCTCAAACTCCTGATCTCAAGTGATCTATCCGTCTTGACCTCCCAAAGTGCTGGGATTACAGGCATGAGCCACCCTGCCCAGCCCAATCCTCTTAACATAAACACTTTAATGTCAATTAATGCTTGAACTCAATGTCAAGTCAACTCAAACTCAAGTCAATGCTGAATTGACTCTAATGTCAATTAATGCTTGATGGTTTGCTATACTCATTGCATTTGGAATAAGTATCTCAAAAATGAATTTTCTGCTGTTCCGCAAGGAGTGACTTCTGACTGAAGACCTTGCTATGCTTATGACATTTGTAAGATTTCTGTCCAATATGGATTCTCTGATGTCTAATGAGGTGTGAATGTGAAGTAAAGGCTTTGCCACAATCATCACACCTGTGAGGTTTCTCTCCTGTATGAATTCTCCTATGTTTAGCATAAGATGAAGCTTGACTGAAGACCTCGCCACAATCATCACATTTGTAAGGTTTCTCTCCAGTATGAGTTCGCTGATGAACTGCAAGGTTTGAACGATGTCTGAAAAATCTGCCACATTTATTACACTTGTAAGATCTCTCTCCATTATGGATTCTCCAGTGATTTGCAATGGTTGTAGTGTTACTGAAGACTTTGTGACAATCATTACATTAGTAAAGTTTCCCTATACCAGGGATTGCTTGATGGTGAATAAGTGTTGACTGCCCACTAAAGGCTTTGCCACACTCATTACACTTGTAAGGTTTCTCTCCAATGTGAATTCTAGTATGCCGTGCCAGGTGTGAAGCACGCCTGAAAGCCTTGTCACAAACCTTACATTTGTATGGTTTGTCTCCAAAACGAATTCTCCTATGTTTTTCAAGGTTTGATTTGCGACTGAAAACTTTGTCACATTGTTCACATTTGTAAGGTTTCTCTCCAGTATGAATCCTCTTATGTGTTTCCAGGTGTGATTTGTGACTGAAAACTTTGTCACATTCTTCACATTTGTAAGGTTTCTCTCCAGTATGAAGTCTACGATGGCATACAAGGGATGACGTCTGACTGAAGGTCTTGCCACGCTCATTACACTGGTAAGGTTTCTCTCCAGTATAAGTTTGCTGATGAACTGCAAGATTTGAATGATGTCTGACAAATCTGCCACATTTATTACACTTGTAAGATCTCTCTTCATGATGAATTTTACAATTATTTGCAATGGTTGTAGTGTTACTGAAGACTTTGTGACAATCATTACATTTGTAAAGTTTCCCTATACCACGGATTGCTTGATGGTGTTGACTGCCCACTAAAGGCTTTGCCACACTCATTACACTTGTAAGGTTTCTCTCCAGTATGAATTCTCTTATGTGTTTCAAGGTGTGATTTGCGACCGAAAACTTTGTCACATTCTTCACATTTATAAGGTTTCTCTCCAGTATGAAGTCTATAATGATGTGCAAGGGTTGCCTGTTGATTAAAAACCTTGCCACATTCATTACACTTGTAAGGTTTCTCTCTGGTATGAATTGCCTTATGAATTACAAGGGCTGAATTGTGACAGAAGGTCTTACCACACTCATTACACTTCTAAGGTTTCTCTCCAATATGAAGTCTACGATGGCATACAAGGGATGACGTCTGAGTGAAGGTCTTGCCACACTCATGACACTTGTAAGTTTTCTCTCCCGTATGAGTTCACTAATGAACTGCAAGATATGAACAACGTCTAAAAAATCTGCCACATTTATTACACTTGTAAGATCTCTCTTCATTATGGATTCTCCAATGATTTGCAATGGTTGTAGCATTACTGAAGACTTTGTGACAGTCGTTACATTTATAAAGTTTCCCTACACCATGGATTGCTTGATGGTGAATAAGTGTTGACTGCCCACTAAAGGCTTTGCCACATTCATTACACTTGTAAGGTTTCTCTCCAGTGTGAATTCTAGTATGTTGTACCAGGTGTGAATCACGCCTGAAAGCCTTGTCACAAATCCTACATTTGTATGGTTTCTCTCCAGTATGAATTCTCCTATGTCTTTTAGGATTTGATTTGTGACTAAAAATTTTGTCACATTCTTCACATTTGTAAGGTTTCTCTCCAGTATGAAGTCTATGATGACTTGCAAGATTTGACTGTTGATTAAAAACCTTGCCACTTGTAAGGTTTTTTGCCAGTGTGACATCTATGATGGCATGCAAGGTATCACTTCTGATTAAAGACCTTGCCACATACATCACATTTATATTGTTTCCCTCCTAAATGGATTATCTGCTGTTTCCTTACGAGTGAGCTACAATTAAAGGCTTTGACACTCTCATTATATTGGAAACATTTTTCTCTCATGTGTACTCCCTGTTTTTGTGTGAGTACTGACGAATGGAGGAAATTATTTTCATAGTTATTAGAAATATGGATTTTGGGCCTAGAAGAAATTCTTTGGGACGTTGGAACCGAGGAAGTATCGTTGATAGACTTCTCAACTTGATTACCAACTTTCCCTTTGGTCTGAAATGTGTGGAGTTCAGGAGGATGTGAACGAAAGCTTAATCCAAGCTGATCTTTAATAGGCTTGTTTCCAGCATGCCTTCGATCACATCTGTCTGTGCTATTTCTTTCATCTTCTTGCCACTGAAACTCAAAGTCATGAATATCTTTCCCAATTTCCTGGAAGCAAAAATCTCCAATGTGATGACTTTCATGTCTTTCCAATGTCCCCATGTGGAACACTTCTGTATTGCCCTGCCCTGTTGACGAGAACTTCTTCATCATGCATTTGGAAGAGATATCCACAGAATGCAGGTTCCTATAGTTCTCCAACATCACGGCCCTGTATAAAGCCCTCTGCGCAGGGTCCAGGCATTTCCACTCCTCCAAAGAGAATTCTATAGCCACATCCCTAAAAGTCAAGTGTCCCTGAGGAAGAGCCATGCCTAGCTCCTTTTCTTTCCTCTTCTGAGCTGCTTCATCACGTAACATGAGTCTTTAGAAATCAATAGCGCTGCAATGTGACCTTCACTGAGGCGATCCGCTTCCGGGTCTGTATTAGTTATCTGTTGTCGAGAAACAAATTATCACCAACTTCGTGGATCAAGGCAACAAACACTGATTATCTCACAGTCGCTGTGGGTCAGGGGTCTGGAGGCATTTCAGCTGGGTTTTCCTAGCTCAGTGTCTCCCATGGGTTGTAGTCAAGCTGTGGGTCATGGCTGCAGTCATCTCAAGGCTTGACTGGTGACAACCCACAACCAAGGTCACTCACATGGCCGTTAGCAGGTCTCAGAAAATCTGCTTATAAGGTGACTGACACAATGGCTGGCACACCTTCATGCCTCTGCCTGGGCTGTCCATTGGTGGCCTGAGTATCCTTATGTCATGGCAGCTGGCTTTCCTAGAGTGACTGATGATAGAGAGAAAGCCAGGGGGAGAGAGAAAGAGAGAGAGAGCGAGAGTGAACACTCACCTCTTTATAACCTGATCTTGGATATGATATATCATGACTTCTGCCATATTGTATTCATTAGAATTGAGTCATTAAATTCATCCCACACTCAAGAGGGGAGGAATTAAGCTTCACCTCTAAAGAAGAAGAATCTATAGGCATAGCTTTGAAATCACTACAGTCTGCCCTCTGGCCATAAATTTTTTTATATTCCTCCCACATGTAGAACACACTCATCCTACTCCTCAGTGGCCCCCAGTGTCTCATCCCATTACTGCACTAGCTTCAAGTCCACAATCTCACCATCTGAGTCAGGTCTAGGTAGGAGAGGCTCCTCAGGTTAGTAAGTTTAGCTTCATAAGTGCCGTTCCTCTGATCTGTGAAACTAAAGAGGGGTTATCTGCCCCTTCACACTCAAAACACGATGGTAAAGCAGACACAGGATAACTGCTCCAGATATTCTTGTTCAAAAAGGGGGAAACAGGAGGTGCAAAGCGGTCAGTGGTCCAAGGCAATTCTGAAAGCCAGTCAGGCAAATGTTGCAAGTTCCTTGATTAGGTCTCAAGGCCTGGGAATACTTCTCTGGGGTTCTTGGCTTCCCTCTCTGAACCCTTGGTTTTGCCCTCTTAATCATCCTTCCCTTACCACAAAAGGCAACATGTGTTTGCTCCATTTTCCTAAACCAAGTTTATAAATATGTTTTCCTATGTTTTCCCCCAAAAATCTGATGGTTTTACATTTCACATTTTGGTTTTTGATCCATTTGGAGGTGACTTTTGCATAAAGCATGAAGTATAGGTCTTCAATTTTTTGCTTATAAATGTCCGTCTTCTAGCACTGTTAGTTGAAATGTGGCAAAGTGACATTATACCAGTTCCCAGACTAGCCTTCAGGATGCCCTTCCTGCTTCCTCTCTTTGGAACCCTCCCCATGCCATGAGAACAAGCCTGGGCTGGCCTATTAGAGCATGAGAGACCCTGTGGAGGAGAGACAGCCCAGCCCGAACAAGGCCAGCCTAGTCCATCCAGCCAATGGTCCGACATGTTAGATCTAGCCAGAACCAGCATAGTAAACATTGATTCAGACTTTCTGGGGGTTAATTCTGCAGTACATGAGCCACATTTTTAAGTGTATGCAGCCTGACCCAGTCATTGGATCTTATTCTAAGGAAATAATTAATGGAAAAGGATATTTAAAGAACATTTCTCACAATAGTAAAAGCTTGAAATATGAGTGTTCATCACTAGTGGAATGATTAAATTAGGGTGCATATAGACAGTGGAATACTCTGAAACTGTTACAAATGGTGATATAGCTGTAAAGGAAATTGGCTATACTATATTCTTCAGTAAACGAGGTAAATTAGAAAGTATTATGTTTTATAGTATGAACCTGTTTTTGAATAAAATAGTATACAACTATGTCTCTACATAGAAGTGTGTCTGGATGAAGGGAAGGAGATGTGTATATATATAGTGTGTGTGTGTATACACATAAATATGGACATACATATATAAAAGTATATATATATATAAAAATTATTAGCAGTGGTTTAGAAATAATTTTTTAATTTTTTTTTTTTTTTTTGAGACAGGCTCTTGACAGGGTGTTGCTCTGTCACCCAGGCTGGAGTGTAGTGACACAATCATAGCTCACTGCAGCCTCAAATTTCTGGGCTTAAGCAATCCTTCTGGCTCAGCCTCCTGAGTAGCTGGCATTACAGGTGCATGTGCCACTGTGCCTGGCTTATTTTAAAACTTTTTTAGAGATGGAGTCTCTCCAGGTTGCCCAGGCTGGTCTGGAACTCTGGGCAATCCTCCCGTCTCAGCCTCCCACAGTGCTGGGATTATATGCATGAGCCACTGCACCTGGCCTTCCGTTTTTACTTTATAATTTTGTGTGCAAATCTTTGAAAGTGAGCATCTATTTAATAAAATAATAAAATAGGCCAGGCGTGGTGGCTCACGCCTGTAATCCCAGCACTTTGGGAGGCCAAGGTGGGCAGATCACGAGGTCAGGAGATCGAGACCATCCTGGGTAACACGGTGAAACCCTGTCTCTACTAAAAATACAAAAAATTAGCCGGGTGTGGTGGCCGGGGCCTGTAGTCCCAGCTATTCAGCAGGCTGGGGCAGGAGAATGTCGTGAACCTGGGAGGTGGAGCTTACAGTGAGCCGAGATCGCGCCACTGCACTCCAGCCTGGGCGACAGAGTGAGACTCCATCTCAAAAAACCAAACAAACAAAAAAAACATTATTTCCATTTTGGAAAAATATTAATATTTTTATATATATAGTCATATGGCAAAACTTCATATAACCCTTGTAGCTATTTGATTTCCTTGGATGTAAGGAAATCAATTTCCTTAGATCTCAGGGTAATTTTTTTTTTTTTTTTTTGATAAAGAGTCCTGCTCTGTCGCCCAGGCTGAAGTGCAGTGGCAGGATCTCGGCTCACTGTAAGCCCCGCCTCCCAGGTTCACATCATCCTGCCTCAGCCTTCCGAGTAGCTGGGACTACAGGCGCCCGCCACCATGCCCCGCTAATTTGTTGTATTTTTAGTAGAGAAGGGGTTTCACCGTGTTAGCCAGGATGGTCTTGATCTCCTGACCTCGTGATCCACCCGCCTTGACCTCCCAAAGTGCTGGGATTACAGGCGTGAGACACCACGACTGGCCCTCTCAGGGTAATCTTAATGGAGCTGTTTATTCACTGGATAGTGGACGGTCCATACCTTAATTCTGGTATTTTCTTCTTCCCATTGGATGGTAAGGCTGCATGTACACATCACAGCTGAAGTTCAGGCAGCAAGAACACTGGACTTGGAGTCAGAAGGCCTTGGTTCAGCATCAGCTCCTCCTCTTTGAGTTTCTGTTTCTTCCTCAGTAAAACTGGGCTTCATTTATCATGCAATAAACATGTATTGAGTATGACTGTGTTCAGGCTCCGTGGCTGGGTGCTGGGGGCCCGAACACCTGTACTGCTTCTCTCAGAGTGGTAATGAGAGGATCAATTCCTAAATGCATAAAAATATAACAGGGAACGGAATTCCAGGCACTGAGTTGTGCTTTCTGCAGTTTCCTTAAGTAGAGGAAATGAAACTGGATTCATTACGAAGCAGTGTTATAATACAGTGGCTAAGAACTCAGGCTCAGTAACCAAATTGCCTAAGTTCAAATCCTGGCTCCACCAGAATTTGGAGGATGTTGCTGAACCTCTCTTCAATTCAGTTTCCTCTGCCTGTAAAATGGGAGTAAGAACTATAGATCTCCTCATGTGGTTGTTGTGAGGATTTAATGAGTCATTATGTGTAAAACTCTTAAAGCAGAGTGTAGCACATAGTGCTCAATATACATTAGCTGTTATTATTATTATTTGGGATGTACAACACATCAGATCACATGTTTCTAACACAGATATGACCAAGTTGATATCAGAGAGTGATCTGGTTGTGATAATTTTCTCTCTACTTGTGGACAAGCTTCATTCCTGTCATCTGGCCAATGAAGTCAATGTCCACTCACTTACTTGCTGGTCCATGAACATCCTCCCAAGGCTTTCTAGCTAGAGGAGGGAGCCTCAGAAGCAACTACTGGAAACTCCAGACCAGCCCCCCAGGCCTGTGTGGAGAAGAAGATGGGGTAGTCAGCTCCCTACTAGGAACTACTGATTCTGTCCATTATTTCAAGAGGTATAATGTGTTTATCTTATTTCTCCAATCATGCATATCTTCATTCCCAAAATCTTTACATGGTCTGTCATGGCTGTTAGATTTACAGTCATTCTATTTACGTTTAAAATTGTTTTTCTTTCTTTCTTTTTCTTAAGACGGAGTCTGGCTCTGTCGCCCAGGCTGGAGTGCAGTGACATGATCTCGGCTCACTGCAAGCTCCGCTTCCCAGGTTCACGCCATTCTCCTGACTCAGCCTCCCGAGTAGCTGGGACTACAGGCACCCATGATCACGCCCGGCTAATTTTTCTATTTTTAGTAGAGATGGGGTTTCACCGTGTTAGCCAGGATGATCTCGATCTCCTGACCTTGTGATCCACCCGCCTTGGCCTCCCAAAGTGCTGGGATTATAGGTGTGAGCCACCGCGCCCAGCCTAAAATTTTTTCTAAATGATTTATGCAATCTGGGTAAATTAAGGAAATGGTCCTTATATTGAGCATTTGTGTTTAACCAATATTTTTTATTAAAAAACATTTTTTTTGAGATGGAGTCTTGCTCTATTGCCCAGGCTGGAGTACAATGGTGTGATCTTGGCTCACTGCAACTTCTACCTTCTGGGATCAAGCAATTCTCCTGCCTCAGCCTCCTGAGTAGCTGGGACTACAGGCATGTGTGACCACGCCCAGTTAATTTCTGTAGTTTTAGTAGAGACAGGATTTTACCATGTTGGCCAGGCTGGTCTTGAACTCCTAACCTCAAGTGATCTGCCCACCTTGGCCTCCCAAAGTGCTGGGATTGCAGGTGTGAGCCACTGTGCCTGGCCTAGTCAATATTTTTAATCATACAGAAAGTGCCTTTGCAAAATTATGACAGTAAAAAAAATCTGACATAGCTGATTCCATCTTGCTTCTAACCTGTAAGCTGTCCTCATTCATTCCCGGGCATAGGCCACAGCTAACTTGGGAGGAATTTAGTTCATAGTCTAACCCTAAAGCAAGGATTGTAATATTCCCTTTCCAAAACTATTCCCTCCTTGTTTGAACACCAAACTACCTTTGTAACAGGATTAAGAGAGGTCTGAACTTTGCTAAGATAAAGGTATAGTTAAATGATTACCTGCCATTTTTCCAGAGGTCACAAGATTTCTAACCTCTCCATCACTCCTATAGATAACACCACTATTGTAAAACTTAAGATTTGTGTTTGAGGTATTTTTCACACCCTGCATTCTGATGGACCAGTTGCCACCACCCAGTCTGGCTCATCAGGTCCTGTGGCCCTTACTCAGGAACTGACTCAGTACAAGAAGACAAACTTCAACTCTCTATAATTTCATCCCTGACCTAACCTATCAGCATTCCCCATTACTTAGCCCTCTGCCCACCAAGCTATCCTTAAAAGAAAACCTTAGGTGGGCCCGGCGCAGTGGCTCACGCCTATAATCCCAGCACTTTGGGAGGCCGAGGTGGGCGGATCACGAGGTCAGGAGATCAAGACCATCCTGGCAAACACGGTGAAATCCCATCTCTACTAAAAATACAAAAAAATTAGCTGGATGTGGTGGCAGGTGCCTGTAGTCCCAGCTACTCAGGAGGCTGAGGCAGGAAAATGACATGAACCTGGGAGGTGGAGCTTGCAGTGAGCTGAGATCGTGCCTCTACACTCCAGTCTGGGCGACAGAGTGAGACTCCAGTCTCAAAAAAAAAAACAAAAAAAACCCAACCAACCAAACAAACAAAAAAACAAACAACAAAACAATAGGATCTGAATTTTCAGGGAGATTGATTTGAGTAATAACACACTCCTGTCCTCCAGCTTGGCTGGCCCTACAATTGTTAAATTCTTCCTCTATTGCAAAACCTTCATTGGCTTTTCTGGGTAACAAGCAAGATGAACCCGCTGGGCATTACAATATGTATTTCAAATACTTTTTGCCAATTTATTATGTATTTTTCAAATTGTTTTTCAAACATAAAGACTTTTTCCTCTCCAAGGATAATTCTGCAGGTACCTTTTCCCTATTTGCTATACTAGGATAGGTCAAGGAAAGTGTTCTGGAAGAAGTGACTTCTAATCCATAATTCCATGGGTGAGAAACACAAACCAGGTGAAGAGAGCAGGGAATAGTGTTGCCAGCAGGGGGAACAGCATGTGCGTCATCTCTCTGTCATGATACAGCCTCTACTTTCAGCACATCTGCTCCACTCACCTGTTGCTACTGAGTTGGACATTTTTGATCCCATATGGCTGGCTTGCCCTGCCCCATCCTGGCCTTTACTATTCCTTTTAGCTTAGTTCCTTCCCCCCTTGAACTGATCTATCTCAAGGGTCTAATTTTTTAGTCCAAGGTGAGAATTTGTTGTGTTAGCTCATCCAGTCATAGGTTGGCTGCGTAAGGTGGAGTAATGGTGGCATAGCTTAGGTAATATGAAATAAAATGATGACACTTCTCTTTTAGCAGGAGCTTAAGGTGTCAGTCTCCAATAAAAAGGCATGTTGTTTTGGTATGTAATGACTGACCTTTATAGTTCAGGATGCACCTACTTTCCCACCTTCAGTCTATATGTCAATGCAGGACTCAATGAACACTCATATATGATCAGTAAGTTAGCTTAGACAAAGCTATGCTGTGGTAAAAAATAATGCTAAACTCTCAATGGCTTCAAACAAACATTTTGTGCATGTTACTTGGCCAACACTAACTGGCTTAGGCTCTGCTGTATTCCACACCTTCTCACTCCGGGTCGCAAGCTTAAGGAGAGTCCTTACCTGGACATGCTGCTCTCCCCCTACAAGGAAAAGAGAAAGATGGTGGAACCACATGACGGCTCTTAAAGCTTATGTTTGGAAGGAGCATTCATTACTTCTGTTCACATTCCATTGCTCAGAGCAATTCCATGGCCAAGCCTGAGGTCCACGTGGAGGAAGGATACTCCCTCCATAGGAAGCGCCAGCAAATATTTTGAACAAATGAACATTCTTGCCTAGTTTATCACAGCCAGTATCATTTGTCCCATTTTGCAAGTGAGAAGACTAAGGCTAAAAAAGGTAATTTGATGAAAGTCATAGGTTAGAATTCAGCTTGAATGGCTTCAAAGTTGGTCCAGGCAATCTCTTTTTCAGATTTTTTTTTTTTTTTTAAACACTATGTAGGCGCCTGGAATTGTAATTTACTCAGGGACACAACCACTTCCCTTCGGCTCCAGAAACAACTCCGTGAAAATCTCTAGAGCTAAACCACCCATGAAATCTTCCTGGAAGGATGTGAAGCTAGAAAGGGGTCAGGCTGGGGGAACTGTTCCTTTAAGAGCTGAGTCTTCCATTTAGTAATTTTTTAAAACTGTTGAAGTATTTATCTGCTTGATGGGTTTGTAGATCCTTTGGACGGAGATCACCTATCATCATCACCTTTTGTTTTGTGTGTGTGTGTGTGTGTGTGTGTGTGTGTGTGAGTCTGAGTTCCTCAAAGATTTTTTCTAGGTAATTCTTGATACTTCAGATTGTAATGGGTATCTACATTCACAAAAATTATTAGTGGGGTAGAAAGATATCTTCAGGTAGAAAGAGGGGCGCAGAAGTTACAGCCAACACAGAGAATCCTTCAATGTTTGTAAATATCTGTTAATTTCCCTTGCCTCCGGATCAGTTTTCCCGGTTTCAGAGCCTCTGTTATCAGGTGCACGTGCAGTGTGATAACAATGGATAAGCTTTGACTTGCCAGGTTTATGCGTGTCATTCAGGGCAGGGGATTAGGGTTAGGCCAGTGAGTGACCTAGGACACTCAATTTAAGGAGGCACTCGCACAAACCTGAGAGTTCGCGCGCCTCACCCCAGCCCAGTCCTGTGTCTGTTAAGCATTTATCATAATCCTGCTTTATGAAAATGCCCGGCGAGCTTACCTGTGAGGATCACCTGCCACTCCCCTCCTCGGCCAGACAACGCGGAGGGCCTCCCTGCCCTGTGATTTTGCTCCGCCGGTGACGATTTCCAGGTTACTGTGTAGGAGCGTCTGGCGCAGGATCGTGTGCGGAAGACCGAGGGAGGGAGTGTGCGTGTGAGCCTGTCAGGCCGGGCGGGTCCATATCCGGGTGGACCGGGTGGGTGGGGCTGCCCCTCCCTCCAGGTCCCGAGGTGGATAGGGGGTGGGGAGTGACGCGCAGAGATTCCCTTTCGCCCCTTCGGATCCAAGAGAGGGTGGGAGAAGGAATGCGTGGGTGACTCGGCGTGGATTTAGGGCGTGCCCACCTTGCAGATCGGCCTCCTAGAGTGTCCCCAGGGTCTAAGAGGCCGCAGGGACACGAAGGAAGAGAAGGAAGAACCCGAAGAGGGCTCGCTTAGCCGGCCACCCGCTCCGAACTTGCCCGGGAAACTAGTGCGGAGGGAGGGGCCGGGCCCTGGCCGCGGCGGGAGGAGGGGCGGCCGCAGCTGCATCCAGCCCCGTTGGCTTCCTTCCCAGCTCTCCTTCGCCGCCTCCTCCTCTTCCTCCTGTATGAGTCAGGCATTTCCCGGGGATTTGGAGCAGCCACGCGCGGCCCGGGCGCCCGGAGCTGTAGCAGCAGCAGCAGCAGCAGCAGCCGCCGCCGTGCCGGGGCCGCCACCGCGGCGGGCACCCGCGTCCCGGGCGCGCACGGACCATGGAGAGGGCAACCCAGGGCACAGACGGCGGCGGGGGTAGCAACAGTAGCAGCCGCAGCAGCAGCCGTGCTACCTCGGCGGGCTCCTCGCCCTCCTGCTCTCTGGCGGGCCGGGGGGTCTCCAGCCGGTCTGCGGCGGCCGGGCTTGGCGGCGGGGGCAGCCGCAGCAGCCCGGGCTCTGTGGCCGCTAGCCCGTCCGGGGGAGGCGGCCGCAGGAGGGAGCCGGCGCTCGAGGGCGTGCTCAGCAAATACACCAACCTCCTCCAGGGCTGGCAGAACAGGTAACCCGCCAGCCGCCCGCGCCACCGCGCACCGCTGTGTGTGTGCATGTGTGTGTGTATGTGTGTACGCGCGCGCGCGATTGTGCCTCCAGCGAACCGGGTGATGCCTCCCAACGGTGCCCTTCCTGCGTCCCTGCTCCCCTCCAGGTGGGGTTCTCAGTATGGGGCGCGCCGTGTCTCCACCCCGGGACCGCACCGCAGTGGCGGGGAGGGAGGCGAGAGCCCAGGTTTTCTTCTGTGCTGGCACCTGCAGAGACTGGAGTGGCAGGAGGAGCGTGCTGGTCCCCGTGCTCTGCTTGTCCGTGGTTTCCCGCACCCCTGAGGAATGACTGGGAAAGGGAGGCAGAAGGGGCGTGCTTTGTGCCTGGGTGAAAAAGCGTTAGCACGTCTGCTCCGATTACAGTAATTCTCTAAATACCATAGTTCATTTTAAAGTTTGGTGTTTCAGAACACCACCACCACCAACAAAAATACTGCCACTTTGACAAGTGTACATACTCCTGCCCCAGTTTGTGCCTTGCAACCTCCGATGTCTGTAGCGGAAATTTTGTTTGAAAACAGAGGCCAGGCGCGGTGGTTCACGCCTGTAATCTCAGTACTTTGGGAGGCCAAGGCGGGCGGATCACGAAATCAGGAGTTCGAGACCAGCCTGGCCAACATGGTGAAACCCCATCTCTACTAAAAATACAAAAAATTAGCCGGGCGTGGCGGCGCACGCCTGTAATTCCAGCTACTCAGGAGTCTGAGGCAGGAGAATCGCTTGAACCCGGGATGTGGAGGTTGCAGTGAGCCGAGATCCCGCCGTTGCAATCTAGCCGGGCCGACAGTGCGAGACTCCAACTCAAAATAAATAAATAAATAAAATAAAAAGAAAGAAAAAATACCCTCGCCCATTTTAATATTAATAGCAATTTACATTATTATCATTATTTCCTCTTCAGGTCCCTTTTGAAGTTTCGTGCTCACTTCCACCGCACAGTTGAGAAGCCTAGTTGTGGACACGTGGAAGGATGGGGCTGTCGAGGAAAGGGGCTCAGGAGGCACTTGGAACGGTGGTAGTGTGTGTGATCTGCCATCGTGAGGAAGACAAGAACAGATGTGGCACTGCTGTTTACTTTTTGTTTTTTTTTTCAATTTGTTTTTCAAAAGCAAGCCAGACGGAAATACAAGTGTCAGTGCGAGGAGAGCAATGCTTTTTGGAGAGGTGGTTGGTGGGGTATTTTGTCCTGCCTATTTAATAGTCTCCAGATCTTAATAGACTTGGGGCTCTTAAGGATGTTTGTGAGATTTGAATCATATCCTGGAACGTTGCTTATCTCTGTTGCATGGACGATATTACTTGGTTATCTCTTCCTGTAGATTGTTTGGAAATGTTCAGATTTGCTTCCATCTGAAACGTATCAGCCAGTTATTTGCATGAAACTCAACTTGGAGGAAGAAGACTTTCGAAGTATGGAAACCGAGTCGTTTCTATATTGATACTGTACATATAGGACTTCCTGAGTCACCTGGGCTTCCTGGGAGGTGTGTTACTATGTTAGTGGAAGTTGCACTTAATTTTTGAATCCTTTTATTTTTCAAAATAGTCCTAGTGTCTGCTGTTGCCTCTCCCTTTCCCCTTTCAATTCGTGAAAGCTGAAAAAGAATAGGTAGAATGCGTAGGTACAGGGAGATGTGAGATGACTAAATCTGATTTCAGTTCTTGGTAATTATGTCTTGTTAATGGCAACTCACAGTGCCTTGTCAGTAACAGCATTTTGTTGGTGTGTTGAGCAATCACTTTTATTGCTTTTTCTTCAAGTAGCTTATGAGGCCAACAGAACTTTTACCCTGGATTACAGTTATTTTATTATTTACTTGCTGGGGAACAATATTTTACCTGCAATGTGTATTAAAGGATTTGTTCTTTGGAGTGGATTTAGGAGGCATTGGAGTAACATTCTTTTGCATTATTTTAAACCCATTGTGGTGTTTAGGTTAGAGGCAAGGTTGAGAAGAAGCACATTTAATGCCATTAATAATACCTATGTGATCGCAGGCTACCTAGGTGAAATATTGTATTATGTACACTCCTGAGCGCGCTTAAGTGATGTCTCATCTTTATTGAATTTGTTTACTGTGATTTATAGCTGTCTGCCTATGTTTGTTCTTACCACAGTAGACTCACCGTTCTCCAAGTCTACCACTGACTCCATAAGCATTGTCTGTAATTGTTAACATCTCAGTGTCAGGGTTTCTATTTCCCACATTGTGTTCTCTGAACGATGGCTGAGGGTCCATTAGTGGCTTGGAGAAGATTTACGATGACTCTGTGATTGCAAAATTCTCCCTTCTCTAGGGGTCTTGTGAAAGGAGAGCTGGATTAGTGAAAAGGAAGAGAGAAAAGGATAAAAATAGAAACTTTGAAAATGTATTCATTTGTTCCTTTGTTCAATTAATTTATCTATTCAGAGACCGTTTTATTGAGCACCTACTATGTGGCAGGCACTGTTCTAGGAGCTGGAGCTACTATCCTTCCCTGGTCCAGGGAAATGCCTTAGTGCAAATAGCCAACTGATTCATGCTGCCTTTCTTTCTGGGCCTCATAGCATCTTCCTTTGGCAGTTCTTTTCAAAGTGCCCACAGTTAATGACAAATCTATAGCAACCAAGTTCTTGGTTCATCCTCTGAGGCTGCTGTGCAATTGTAATGCTCTTCACCAGCTCCCAGGACTTAACACCAATCACCCACTAACAGTTTGTACCCCGGTGTCCTCTTGCGTGTTCTCAAGTTGCCGTAAAACTTATATTTTAACATTTGGCATCATACTCTGCCTTTATTTGTAGCCTCATCCTCATGCCCTTAGGAAGGCAGTTTGGGCCAGAATACAAAATAAGTGACATAAAGAGAGGTCACAGAGAAGAAAACTGCATGATGGGAACGTGCTGAACTGAGGAGAGTAAGTTCAGGACATTTGGCTCACACTCACTGGATGAGAATGTGAAATACTTAAGAGTATGGGGAAAACATGCATTAAGGTCTTTCTGTCATTCATTATAGATATTTAAGGAAAATATTTCAGGCATAATAACATTGTATAGATTTACAGGATGGCATTGAAGAGTCAGTGTGTCGATACAAATGAACAACAATAAAAAATCCAGAAAGTGGCAAGTGCTATGAAGGTTAAAAAAAGGTGATGAGATAAAGGCAAGTATTTGTAGCAATAATTTTAAGTGTGGGTCTAGTGTCTTTACTGCTATTCACATTTTAACTTAGAGCACTCTCTTATTACCCATCTTATCACTCATCTAGAGTGAACCAGGGGGAGAGTAAACCTCAAGAACTTGGGGAGGCACATGACATAGCACCTAGTTGGCCAGGATTAGAATTTCAGACTGGGTTCTGGTGGCCCAGAAGGATTTTAGGAAGGGAAGTGATCCTTATTTGGTCACTCTGGCTTCTATGTAGAGATGAGATTTTCAACGGGCCAAAGCATGAAGCAGGGAGACCAGTTAGGAGCCCGGCTGAGTGGTTTAGGAAAGAGATACTGGTGGCCTGGGCTGGGGGTTGGCAGAGAGTTGGAGAGACAGGATGGATCTGTTGTGGAGCGGGTGGAAATTGCCGATGAATTTGATGTGGAGGTGAGAGAGGGGCATGGATAACTCTTGATTTGTGGGTCTGAGAGGCTGGGAGGTTGAGACGTCCTTTGTGGAGATGAGGATCACAGGAGGGGAATGTGTTTGTGGGGAGGGTGAGGCTTGGCCACGAGTTCTGTTTGGACTGTGTTCAGTTTGAGATGCCTACCCCTAGTAAGAAACTGGCTGTAGGAACTTTCATTTGCCCTAAGTCTAACTTTACTCTCAAACTAAAATGGAACTATTTTGGAGTTGCTGATAATATCAAGTATCTGAGGAAATAATTTCTAATCGGATCTAGAAATTGTTATTTAAATATCTAAGGGTTGCCATTGCCATTCACTTTTTCTTATTTGGAGAAAAGAAGACTGTGCAAATGTGGAACCAACCTCCAGTTCTCTTTTTGGTGATTGGCGGGGTTGTAAGAACTCAATAAAATGCTGAAGGACAACAAATCTTGACCAGGATTAAGGAAGACAAGGCTGGGTGCATTGGCTCACACCTGTAATCCCAGCACTTTTGGAGGCTGAGGTGGGAGGATCACTTGAGCCCAGGAGTTCCCAACCAGCCTGGGAACCATGGTGAAACCCTGTCTCCACAAAATAAAAATATAAAAATTAGCCAGCTGTGGTGGCTTAGGCCTGTAGTCACTGCTGCTCAGGGGTCTGCGGTGGGAGGATTGCTTGAGCACCAGAGGTCAAGGCTGCAGTGAGCTATGATCACACCACTGGACTCCAGCCTGGGCAACAGCGGAAGAGCCTGTCTCTAAAGTAGACGTTTATTTGGGGAGGAAGAGTAGTGTGGACTTTGGATTCAAATCTTGATATCAACACTTAGCATGCATGTGACCACGGGCTCGCTCTTTAATTGCACTGGGCTTCTGTTGTTCTCTTCTGTTAAATGTGGGAAATGATGCTACTCTTTTCATTAGTTCAATGTGAAGATTAAATGAGATTATCGGTGTATAAGGGACTGAGAATAGTACATAGCAAGATACCAAGAAGTGGTAGCTATTATTAGATCTTCAATTTGTCTGTTTTTAAGTAGGCACTTTCTGGTCCATAAAATTCTTGATTTTTATTCTGAGTGCTGTGGTTACCCTGGGACCACATTAACATAATTATCATAGAGTTCTTTGGGGAGAAGATGATTACTTTATTTTGAAGGGATCCTTTTAAAACTTGGCACCAAACATTTACAGCTCCCCTTCCCAGCCTCTAATTCCTATCTTCCTTTCCTATTTTATTTCTCTCTATATACCTTGCTACTATCTGACATGCTTTATATTTTCCTTTTTTTGGTCTCTCCACACTAGAGTATAAGCTCCCTGAGGACAGATAATTTTTTCTGTCTTTGTCACTGCTGTATCTCCAGTATTGAGAACAGGGTCAGGTATGCAGTAAGGGTAGAGTAAGTATTGTCAAATGGATAAAAAAATGAATAAATGACAGAGAAGGAAACCAGGGCTTAGTTCTATTTGAGCCAGTGTTAGCTATTGTTAATATTAGAAGTCTTGGTTCTGTACCTGCTCTTCACCTTGTCTTTGTGTTGCTGTGTTTATCATCTGTCCTGCTCTCTGCAAACAGTCTTTGGTTCTGGGTCAGGGAGTATGACTCTTCTTGTGACATACCCACCCTGATTTAGGGCCCACCACAGCTCACCCATTGGGGGCTATTAGTGACCAAATATCCAGGGCTTGCTTTTGACTCTATCTGGATTAACAACATATGTTGGGTGTTTAGTGTTTAGCCCCCAGCATTTTGGGGCCACTTATCCCAAATTGAAGCATCACTGGGGTATATACTAATTTTTAAAGCCACCTTGAAGGACAATAAGTGTTTTTTTTTGAGTATCCCAATAATTTTAGAGGGAATTGGTGTTACCAGGGTTGAAAATCACTGCTGTGGGTTTTGTATTCTTGTCTGCATGTACACAGGAAATATCTGCACATCTTCCTGTCTAGTCTGCCGGAGCCTTTTGAGGCTGCGTGCTAAAAATCCTTTAGGGACACTAGATAGTTTCATTGATAGTAATAATAAAAGGGATGGTTGCCTAGGTTACAAAACAGTGTATAATATTGTTTATTCACTTATGGTTCAAAATACTTGCTTTGTATTAACCACTCCCTGCAGAATCTGCCCTCCCCTTCCTTTGAAAGTGTGTATATATTTAAGGAGATTCACACCAAACTGGTTTTCTTTGGTTGGTGGGATTATGGGTGATTTCCATTATCTTCTCTTGTCTGTTTTCCCAAGGTGAACTTGTGTCTGTTTTGCAGTTTGAAAAAGTTGTGGAGACAAAGAAAAGCTGCTCGTGCCTTTTCACGTCGTCTCTTTAACTGTGAGTTTTGCGAGTCAATCTCAAGTCTAATCAGCATTCAGGAAACTACACAAATCATATACATACGCAGTTCACTGAATTTTCATAAATGGAACACACCCACATTAAGAAATAGCTGCCAAAACATTCCCTGTCCCCCACAGCCCCTTTCCTTATGGTATCTCCCTGCATAAGGTAACCGCTGTTGTGACCTCAACACCATTGAATTGTTTGGTCTCTTTTTGAACTTCGTATTGTGTAATATGTGATCTGTGTGTCTGGCTTCTTTCTCTTAACATTATGTTTGGGAGGCTTACGCATGTTTCTGTGTACAGTTGTGGTCTGTTTATTTTCATTGCTATTTGGTATTTCATTGTATGAATATACTAAATACATTTGTATATTGTAGGTTGGTATTTGAGTTCTTTTCAGTTTTTGACCCTATTCATAGGGTCACAATGCTGTGAACATTCTACTACCTGTGTTTTGGAGAACATATGTGTCCATTTCTGTGGATATACACCTAGGAGTGTTTGCTCATGTCCAGCTTATTAGATACTAGCGGAGAGTTTTCCATAGTGGTTGTGTGCATTAATACTTCTACCAAAAGGGTGTAGAGAGAGTCCTGTGTGTACCACATTCTCATCCACGCTTGATATTGTCTCTTGTTTTCATGTCATCCAATTTTAATATGCCTTTCCCTGATGACTACTGAGGTTGAGCATGTTTTCATGTATTAATTGGCATTTGGATGTCACGTTTTTGCAAGTTGCTCTTTAAGTCCTCTGCCCATTTATCTGTTGGGTGTCTGCCTTTTTCTCCTTGACTTTTAAGAGATGTTTATATATTCTGGGTACGCGCCCTTTGCTGGATGCCAGTACACAGGTGCCTGGGCACTGCATATATAGAGACATGATGTATCATGCAGGTATTACGTCCTGTGGATATACCACAGTTTGTTTATCCATTACCTGTAGGACGACATTTGGGCTGTTTCCAGTTTTTAACTATTACAGATAAAGCTGCTTATTTCTGTGCAAGTCTTTGTGTGGTCACATGCTTTTATTTCTTTTGGGTAAATACCTAGCATTAGAATTGCTGGTGTATCCATCCTGTGTAGGAAGTGCTTACCTGTTTTCCAAAGCAGCTGAACCATTTCACACTGCCACCAGCAGTGTGTATAAGTGAATACATGGCTCCCCATCTTGGCCATCTTCATGTTGCTACCTGGAGAGCTTTGGGAAAACAGGACTGCCACTTCCTCATGCGCATGGCATTGCTTCTGAGAGGGGCAGTCTAGGGAGAGGTAGTCCTTCTTACCTTTCCAGCTTTGCCTCCTTTTGGCCAAATGACCTTGGGCAAGTTATTTAACTATTTGGGCCTTGGTCGCTCTGTCTGTAAAATGATACGAACCTCACAGTGTTGTGAGGCCACCACAGGCACGAGTCCTGTGCTTGGTGCACAGTAGGTCCTCAGCAGAAGTTTGTGACTGAGAGTCTTGTATTTTAGACTAGTGAGTAGCTTTCTGGAACCTAGGGGGTGCCTTGGTGGTGACTTATGCCCCAGCCTTGGCAAATCTGCAGGTGTCTTAGCCCTGCCTCTCATTACATGAGGACCCAGTTAAGCCATTTGGTTTGCCCAGTGGCACTCTGTGTTTGCTGTGGTTCCTCGGAGACTGCTTGTGGACAGTTGTCTGAGGACTCTGGGAAGAAGGAAGCCACATGGGCCTTTGTGTCCTGAAAGAAGGGTTGAAATGATTGTGCCGGAAATGTGGGAGGCTTTTTGCAGTTCTGCCTGGCTCCCACTGATGCGATATGGGGCCAGGCCAAGACAGAATTGAAAAGAAAACCATCCAAAATTTGAATTTTGATAACCTAGACTGGATTGAATATGGTCACAGCCCAAAAAGTGCTTTATTTGTGCCTCATGCAATGATATCAATAATAATGATAAAATTAGGAAACATAATATATGGTCTTTTGTTGCAAGTCTGTTCCTTGAAGGTCAGAGAAGGCATTTGCAACAGGAATAATCTTTTCTTTTTGTGTTGTAGTTTTTGGGAGACTATTTATGTTTTTGTGTGGTTTAGTCCCTTCCTGTAAATGTATTGATGAAAATACAGAGTTGAAAAGCAACCAGTATCAGTTTTTAGTCACTCCTTTCCAGGATGTTTTAAGTATTTATCTGCACAGCCAGCCTTGTGGCCTGTGCAGGCTGCCATGAGGTGGGTGGGTGGGATTGGACGTT